AGATTTGAGTGCAATTTATTAATGTTCGTGTTAAAAATGTTACCAGGCTGGGGATATGGCTTAGTGATAAGGACTCACTCCTGTGTGGCAAGCACTCCAAGGTCAACTCCCAGAAGCATCGCCCCCCCACCCACCTACCAAAAGTTACCACACCAGGCTTATTTTGCTCAGCGTGCAATATGCCAATCACTGAAAAGACAAGTTTTGCAAATTAGAAAGCATATTCAGGAAGCAGCTTGTGAGGAGACAGGAGAGCAATCTGCCTCCCCAGGATTGGGTTTGGGGATATCTATTTGCTGAAGCATGGAAAAGTGAATGAATCTCATTCCTCTGTCCTTACCATGATAATGCACACATCAGGGGTGTTATCTACAGTTAACAAAAGTGAGTAACCTAAAAGCAGGTTAAGCAGGTTAAGTCTAGAAAAGCAAGTAAGAGCAGGTGAAGTCTAAAGGATTTATTTCAGTTTCCCCTGGTTTCAATAATAATTTTTTTTCTCTACCAAACGTGAACAAAAAGGGCAAAAATCTAGATGGCAAGAGATGCCTTGCTCATTTTTTTAAAAGGAAGTCTGGGATTCAAGGAAAGCAACATTCTTTGCTTTCTTTATGTGCCACCAAGAAATCAAATTCATGTTGGATCTCTGAACTCTGCCTTCCTTGCCCAACTCATCTGGTCCTGGGATGTTGGACACCTGCGTGAAGATGTTTTACCCCCTGCCGAGTTTGGTAGTCATGGAAACAGATCTAGTCACGCTAAGGAGACCACCACAAGCATGTTGCTGGTCGGGGTGGGAACAGTAAGAGAGTAATATCCACCAAATGTTGAATTGTACACTTTTTTTTTTAATATTTATTTTTCAGTTGGCGGCGGACACAACATCTTTATTTTTTATGTGGTGCTGAGGATCGAACTCAGAGCACCGCGCATGCCAGGCGACCGCGCTACCGCTTGAGCCACATCCCCAGCCCGAATTGTACACTTTAATGGATGAATTGTATGACATGAATGAAACTTTTTTTTAAAAGGAAAAAATTCTTGTACCAGGTGGTTGGTTGTGGCAACTAGATTTTTTTTCCCCTAATTAATGGAACATGTGTTTCAGTAGAAAACCACAGCAAATAATACTCTAAAAAATAAGACATCTATAGCCAGGGATGGGCTGGTTATATCTAAGCAGGACTATCCTGGGCCTGTTAAGGTATTTAAATGCTTTACTTGCTAAAAAAAAAGACATGCTGCTACAATATAGTACCCCACATATTCTTCACTGTGGATAAATCAACCTCTGACACCTCTCTCTAGGGGATTTTTGGTTGACTGGAGCCCCTCATTACATTATAACAAAAATCATGGCTGCAATTACAGTTTGCATTATAATAATATAAAAGCAAACTCTTGGGAAGGAAAAAAGGGAGTAAATATATGCCTCAGAATATCAGCCACAGTCATGTTTGGATAAGACTAAGTTCTATATAAGCTGGCACAATGCAGACACACCCTCATGTTTTTACCCTCCTTTTGCTTTCCCAAGGAGCCATCACATTTATGTCCAAATTTTATCCTCCCCAGAGTCAAAAGGGGCAGTTATTAACAAAGAACCCTGCCAGAGAATAGGATAGGGTGAAGGAAAAACCACGTTCACCTGGCATCCAAGACTCCAGCTTGTGTCAAGCCATCTTCCAAAGGACAAATAACTGTCTCCAAACTGGAAAATGAGGTTTTGACTCTAATCCAAAATGATCTTTTTTTTATTTAATAGTCTCATTTTTCAAAGATAGGGTTGAGGTCTTCTAACTCTTAGTCCCTGGCTCTCCCCAACAAAAGCAAGATGAGGTCTCAGACCCAGTCATACTCACTTACCTCAGAGATGAACTGTTGCTCTGCTCATACCTCTAGCCTGGACTGACACTCTGGAATACAAGACATTAGATAATGGGAATGTCACTAAGGAAGGCCCTGAAGCAAAAGATACTCCACAAAAGCAACTGTGGTCCCAAAAGAGAAGCACAATCAGGGGATGACAGAACAGGAGACTCAACAAAGCACAATAGTCAGCAAAGGAAAAAACAGTAACCATACTCACGGTTTTTCATTAATATTGTGGGTGGTAGTGAAAAAACTGTGTGCCAAATTGTGAGTGCCCACAGAGATGGAACTGAGCATGCTTTAAAAGCTCTCCAGCAGGCTAACAAACTGCAGCTGGTCCGTGAAGCCCAGCCTGATTCAATGTGTTCCACGAGGAGTTCAAAGCCTGAACACCTGTGGGTTGTTGGAGAGGTTCACCCTCAGAGATGGAAGTACACTGTGCAGCACTGAACAACCTCTCTGAGAAGCAGCAGCTGTTTTCTGGTGTGCTAAACAGAGTTACTGAATACATAGCAATGATAAGCTCCACAAAGGTACTGGCAGAAGTGAGAAGGTGCATGGCTAAGTTCCCTGCTCCAATATCACTTCTTCCAAGAAGACTTTCCAGGCTCTCCCCCAACCTCCCAACCCCAACCCCTCCAATGCCTGGTGTGGGTCAGATGCTCTCCTCCAGTCATCTATAGCAGCCAGGACTCTTCAATGACAATTTCATTGTCCCTGAGATTTTTTTCTTTGTCTCTGCCCCCTAGATTGTAGCTCCTTAAAAAAGAGGACTCTTCTTCCACCCTGGGTTCTTAGGGTTAGCATCACACCTAGCACAAGAATGGCCCGATACATATTCACTGAAAGAAAAGCGTGAGCTTTTCTCGCCCATGACAGAAGGCTCAATTTTTAATGGTTGAACTCTGCTAATTTGAGGATCATGTTACTTAAAGAACAATATCCCACAATTTTTTTTTTGTTTGTTTGGGCGGGATAGCAAACAGCTTATAAACAGCTCTGAAACCCAACTCTGTACTCTTGGGGTTCCCACTCAACTCAGTCATCTATTAGCTATGTAGTACTGACCCACAGGCAAGCTATTATATATCTCAGTGTCTTTATCTGTGCAAATAGAGAATACAATCATACCCTCTTCGGGAGCTGTCATGAGGAGCTAAATGCCTGAAACATGGCACAGAGACTGATTCTTAGGATGCACTCAAAAAAGATTGTCATGATTGTTAGCCCTTCTCTGGAACTAAGCTATAGGGCAAACTTTGCCCAGTGTTGGTAATACCACATTCACATTTAGCTCTGCTTTTACCAGAAACCAGTTATAAGACTGACCACAAATTGCTTTATCTGGGTTCTTAAGATTAAGCTGACTGATGTCCCTTGCTACTTAAATATAAATTCTTTCAGTATAAAGTAGAATTTTTTAAAAATGTCTATGGCCCAAATTTTATTACTGCTTCACAATTTCCACAGGGTTGTCTCTTGGCAACATCATGGCAGGTAGTATCCCCTATTAGGAAAAGCAGCATGAGACCCAGCTTAGGCTTCGGGGGCAGGGAGCTGCAGAGTTGCTAGGATCATATGGCTCGAGTGTGGAAGCAGACCAGGCTTTCATGCAGTTTTATTGAAAAAAGCTTTATTGAGGTATAGTTTACATATCACAAATTCATATATTTGGGTATACAATTTAAAGTTTCAGTAAATTTAGAGTTATACATTTCCATCATCCCAAAAAAGATCCTTTATGCCTATTTGTAACGACTACCTCTCCACCACACCCCATCCCTCTAGTCCACAAGAGCCAGAGCTATAGTTCTACCTCCCAGAGAAAAAGGGAAAGGAAACAAATCAAACAAACTCAGCACCACTGAAGCTTCTCCAGTAGGTAGCTTTATTGGTCAGACTTATCACTGAGATCAGGGTTTAGAGGAATTTTAAAATATCATTCCTTTCCTTTCCTAAGAACTAGTGAGAGCAAAATTACCAGAATTTACAGTCTGACAACCAGTCCAGTACCATCTCCATTGGATCACACTAAAAGCACTTCTGATTCAGTCAAGCTTAGGGTGGAAGGTGTCTTCATTTCAACTCTGCCCCTTCCTTTGAACCATTCTAGCTCATCTAGTCCTTCCCAGAGTGTCCACTGCCTTGTAACACTTTCCAATTTCAGACTGGTTCCAGAATTATTTAATCTGAAAATTTTTCTTTTCCCAACTTTAAATGTCATTTTCTTTTAAATCTCTTAAAAAGCCTTCAACATAGAAATTGTTGATTTTTCTTTTATTTCTCGTCTTGATTAATCTTTTAGGAATTCTCTCTGAAAAGCAGCTTAATTCATCATGTGGTTGTCTTTATCACCATCACTTTTTGAAAAGCCTCATTAGTAAGCAAACCTCTAATTCCAAGCTCCACGATTACCTCTAAAAAACCCATAATAGACTAAACTTGAGTCAACCATAATTAGATTTAATAGGACTTTTTCCCTTTTTTTTTTTTTTCACTACCCAGCTGTGCTTGATATCAGCAAGCTGTTGACAGGACTAAAGGGGTGTTGAGGGTAGGGTAACAGGGAAGCAGATCTCTGCAAAGAGGGAAGGAGCAGCAGCATTGGTTCTGTTTAAAACTGGCTCTCCAAGTGTGTCTCCCAACCAGTAGCAAGGAAGCATTTGAAATTGTTAGAAATGTCAATTTGGGGGTCTGAGTACAGACCTACTGGATCAGGCTATCCAGGGGATTCTGAGGCATGCTTGAATATAAAGGACTTGGTTCAGATGTAGTGTTTACTGAATTGTAGATCTCAAAATTTTAGAAACAAGCTCTTTGAAAATAAGTGCCTTGAATTCGGCTGGGGTTATGGCTCAGTGGTAGAGCGCCTGCCTGGCATGTGTGAGGCACTGGGTTTGATCCTCAGTATCACATAAAAATAAATAAAAATAAAGGTATTGTGTCCATCTACAACTAAAAAACAAAAAACAATTAAAAAATAATAATTGCCTTGACTGGCTTTAGTGATCTTTCCCCGCTTCTCCCCCAACTCCCTGCCCTGAGGAACAAATCCCACTTAACGTTTATGTTCTTCTCATTTATCTTTTATAAGCATTATATTTTTATTACTCTACAGGGCTGCTATTTGGTATTAGACTTGCTAATGAGCTTGAGCAACTGTGTGTGCTGCTGCTGCTGCTGCCTGTCATTTGGTGCAGGCACAGGTATAAGGCATGCAGCTTAGCAACCAGCCTTCTTCCACATTCTGCTCTCAGGAAACGAGAGGAGGAGGGTCCAAAGGTGTCATTTGACACTGACGGAAGAATTTATTTCCTATGCAGAAGAGCTGAGACAGAAGACAAACCTAAATGAGCTAACTTCCTAAGGAGGAACTGGATGGAGAAGGTGATGCTGGCAGCTGCCTTTGCCAACTCCAACTCCAGCATCATGAATATGTCCTTTGCTTACCTCCATTTTGCTGGAGGGTACCTGCCCTCTGACTCCAAGGACTGGAGGACCATCATCCCAGCTCTCTTGGTGGCTGTCTGCCTGGTGGGCTTCGTGGGGAACCTGTGTGTGATTGGCATCCTCCTTCACAGTGCTTGGAAAGGAAAGCCATCCATGATTCATTCCCTGATTCTGAACCTCAGCCTGGCTGATCTTTCTCTCCTGCTGTTTTCGGCACCTGTTAGAGCTACAGCATACTCCAAAGGTGTTTGGGATCTAGGCTGGTTTGTCTGTAAGTCCTCTGACTGGTTCATTCACATGTGCATGGCAGCCAAGAGCCTGACAATTGTTGCAGTGGCCAAAGTATGCTACATGTATGCAAGTGACCCAGCCAAACAAGTAAGTGTCCACAGCTGCACCATCTGCTCAGTGCTGGTAGCCATCTGGGCTGTGGCTAGCCTGCTACCCCTGCCAGAATGGTTCTTCAGCAATACCAGGCACCACGCAGGTGTGGAAATGTGCCTCATGGATATACCAGCTGTGGCCGAAGAGTTCATGTCAATGTTTGGTAAGCTCTACCCTCTCCTGGTATTTTGCCTTCCATTACTTCTGGCCAGCTTTTATTTCTGGAGAGCTTACAGTCAATGTAAAAACCGAGGAACTAAGACTCAAAATTTTAGAAACCAGATGCGTTCAAAGCAACTCACAGTGATGCTGTTCAGCATTGCTATCACCTCTGCTCTTCTGTGGCTCCCTGAATGGATAGCATGGCTATGGGTATGGCATCTGAAGGCTGGAGGCTCAAGCCCACCACAGGGTTTCATAGCCCTGTCTCAAGTCCTAATGTTTTCCATTTCTTCAGCAAATCCTCTCATTTTTCTAGTGATGTTGGAAGAATTCAGGGAAGGTTTGAAAGGCTTATGGAAATGGATGGTAACCCAAAACCCCCCCAGAGCCTCTGAGACTCAGGAAACACCAGTTGGTAACTTGGAGGTTCTTCCTGACAAGATTCCATCCCCAGACACCTCAGCATCCATCCCAAAGAAAGAGAAACCTGACTCTCCCAACTCCAGTAAAGAGAAAATGGAGAAGGCAGAGATTCCAGTCCTCCCGGATGTAGAGCAGTTTTGGCATGAGAGGGACACTGTCCCTTCTGTACAAGACAACGATCCTATCCCCTGGGAACATGAAGATCAAGAGACAGAGGGTTGTGATAAATAAAGTTCCAAAGAAAAATGAATTATGGTTAATGTATTTACTTGTACTGCTGCTTATTAATACTGCTGACTTTACCATACAAAATTATTAGCCATTAAGAATTACAAAAATGCTTCTGCATTTTCAAAATGTGCAATCTGGTAAGTAAAACACTATGTAATATTTATGCTTCAGAATTATAACCTGGAAGTCCAAAAAATTCATGTAAAGTGTTTAGTATAAAGAAGCTGCTGCCAAAGTGATGAGATAGTTAAGCTATCTAGTCACTTGTTCACAGTGAATGTTTCTATTATGTGCACCTTAGAACCAGCTCTGTACTGTGCTGGCTGAAATTGAGCTTCTGTCTATTAAAGGTTGAGCCTGTATATATATTCATATTCAGTTTCTTCCTAAACCTGCTGGCCCTAATGTCATCAATTTTTATTTCACATAACCAAAGCTCAAGATCCACTTCCACTTAAGAGCTTTCTCTAACACAATGAGTAAATTTTACTTAATGAGCTACTTGTTTGATGTTAGTTTACTTAATGAAAATCCATGTTAATTTTCCCAATCAAAGTTAACAAATAAGGAAATAACCTTATTCCAATTCTGGGTTAATTTCAAACCATAGCTATTTTTGGCAAAGTTTAAGTAAGTTTAAATTTTTCTAGATACTACAAAGTCTTCTTCAATGATCTTTTTAAAGCCACTTAAATAGGTCTTTAGCTATAAAGTCTGAGAATTTTAGGATAGGAGCCTAACATGACATCCTATATTGTGATATGGTAAAAATATATTTTTTAAAAAACCACCCTTCCTTCTCTTCCAAAATGCTTGAAAGTTATTTTTCTTAAAACAGAAATCTGTTCCTCCCAGTATCTCCTTATCCCATGATAAACTATAAGATACAGTGACATAGCTATTAACCATTAATTAAAGGCAAGCCTCAAATATAAAGGATGGAGGTAGTAAACTTTCTTGTTAAAAGGTATTAATTTTACCCCTAAACACTTATCTGGAAACCTACTCAACTTTTAAAATATTGTAGGGCTTCTAAGTTTTAAAATAATCAAGTAATAAGTGTGAAAAAAGTATGAAAAGACAAATTGGTTGATAATAGAAAATAAAAATCACAAGTATAATGAATAATGAAAAGCAATAAAAATCAAATCTGTATTCCTAGACATAACAGCAAAAATTTAAATAGGCAGTAACTGTTCATTTTATAGTAAAACATCATATTCAGTAAAACATAATAATTATGACATCCTTCTCCTTTTAAATACAAAAAGGACATTTATCTATCATTACTTTCATATGGAATTCTTTGGTATTTTTACTGAGGGGGGAAAATAAATTGAGCAATGGAAAATCAGAAATATCAAGAATATGCTGTGCAATAAATAAAACACAGATACTGTGTCCATCTACAACAAAAAATACTTTAAAAAAGAATATGCTATGCAAAGAAATACTGTTGTTTTTTAATGTTCATTTTTTTCCCCCTAATAAATGATCATAGTTTGCTTTCTAACACAAAAGGTAGAACTGTTTTTATTTGCTTCAATCCAAATTTTATTTGAAAGTTTCGTGTTAAAGTATAATTTAACCCAAGAACCCAAAATATTGTTTTGTGATACTAAGTTATACAAAAAAGTCACCATTAAAATTGTTTGTGATGAACCATTTGAATAAAGGTTTTTATGTTCACTATATATTTAGAAAATATAGGATGTAAACTTTCAGTGTTTGACATTTTAACTTGTAAAGAAATAAAAACAATTATGTTTGACTTCAGATAGTTTTTTGGAAACTTAAACTGTGTCTTGAATCATCTTTTCAAAATCACCACTTGGAATGATGGGGCTTTATAGGAAGGAAGTCTGACCTAAACAGTAGCTCAGGGTAAAATGATTTTCAGAGTCTGTAGACAAGCACCATATCTGCTGGGCACAGCAACTCATACCTGCAATCCCAGCAGCTGAGGAGGCTGAGGCAGGAGGATTGCAAGTTTAAGGTCAGCTTTAGCAACTTAGCAAGGCCTTGTTTTAAAATTAAAAGGGCTAGTGGTGAAGCTCAGTGGTAAAGCACCTCTGGATTCAATTCTCAGCACCGGAAAAAAAAAAAAAAGAAGCACCACCACCACCATATGAAGATACTGATACTGAAAACAAAGCATATTTTTAACGAATCTTTCATTAAAGATGTGACATGGTGAATCCTGGTTTGATCCCTTAAAAAAATCTGTACAGAAAATTTTGATTTGTGCAATCAAACTCAAAATATTTTATAAGTAGGATACATGAGATATCACCAAGCCATTGTCTTCACACTGCTGATTTACTGTGAGAAAACAGAAATGTGGTGAGTAGGCAAACAATTCTGTGTGGAATTTGGAATAACAAAAAAAGACGTGAAAACATCTGAAGAGCAATAATATTTCTATAATAGTTGTGCTCCTTTTGGCAAGCACTTTACTTTGTGAATTTATAAAAATAAAATTTCAAAACGAGAGAAAAAATACAAATCCCATTTTTTCAGATTAAGACCTTAGTTTGATCCATTGGTGCCAGGTTTCTACAGAGTTCACACAATTTCTACAGCACTTAATAGATCCAAGCTATTTAGCAAGTAATATGGATGTGCATGTGTCTCTAATTATATACATATAACTTACAAATACAGATCTGTTTGAATTCCCTCTTTCTAGCTTTTGTTGTAATCAGTAGATATGAGATTAACAGGAAAGAAAAATCATGCGGCACTCAGAAACTGGCAAACTGTGAAAGGATAAAATAGTTCTATTTTGTTTTTGATTGGGGAGGTAAATTAGAAAAAGCAATTGAGAACCAAAGTTTCATGGTGTGATACGCATGACATTGATAGAACATCAAAAAGGCACAAACCATCAATGTTTCTCTAAATGGCAAAACAAACAAACAGAAAAGAAGCAAAGCAAAGAAAAACAAAACAAAAATCAGCATCTTCTTTCTAGTAAGCAATAAATATTACTAAGGGACTTCAGCATCCATAAAAATGGTTCTGTACAAATTTCTTCTCTTTATACTGGGAAATACTGCATTCATATTCAAGATTTTAAAAACTATGTAATAGTCAAGATTCAAAGATTACTTTCTTTGTGCCAAATTCCACCTGCTGTTTCTTTTAAAACAGGTATAAATTAGTTCTTATAAATTATGTAACAATAATCATATATAATCCACATATATAAAAAGGATTGGTTTATTGTAGTTCAAATACATAAACTGAACATTCAAACATCTTAAACTTTAGAAACAAAAGTTTAACATTCAAACAGGAGTATAGTTTACAGGGAACACCCAGAAAGGTAATTTTGTTGTCTAATCCAGAATATTGATAAAGATCACTTAATGGAGAATAAAATATATTTAACCAGGAGTTCTATTCTGGTCAACATGTTAGTTATGAATGTGGTTCCATACCTGAGAAGAAATTACTAAATAAATCTTCTCTTAGGCTAAACAACAAGACTTGGCCTATAATTCAAAGGGAATAATCAAAGCACATAAGTGAACAAATAAAACTAAACTGTTCTTTAGAGACAAAGGTAAAAGTATGTCCATTATAATATTCTTAGCCTCTGGAAGAATTCAATTTTCAGTGTTTTCTCTTTTACCCGCATTAAAAAAAAAAAAATCAAAACAAACCCCAACTTAAATTTTCTTGGGAGTCTGTGGTATTTGCATCTTGCAAGTTCAAACCACAAATGCTCTTTTGTCTTGCATGAATAACACTGCTAGAAAGAACGTCACCAAGTCACTGACTTCCACACTTCATAAAAAGATGATTTTTAGCTTCAGTATTTTAGATTTACTAGAGATAGCCTATATTTGAGTATGTATGTCAGTCATGCCACACAAAGAAAAGCATATTTCCAAAATATTCTGTTCAGAAACTGTTCGCAAATGCTTCTCCTGTTGTCAGATGATTTTCCAATAGGTTGACTAATGCACATATATGTAAAAACCTGAAAATTGGCTCATGCAAGCGTTTTGAATTAATAGATACCCCTGTGGAAGAGTATTTGGATTTATTTTGTTGATCGTCTAGTGGGTTCTGATGCTGTGGGAGGTGGTGGTGGACCCCGTCGATCCAGGTCATCAACATATGCCACAATCAGTTTACGCCTCTCCTCTGGCACACAGTCCAATACTAGATACCGTTTGTCATTCTGCAAAATTTTTTCTACATCTTTCAGGTGCTGATCAGATTCTTGGATTAGCTTTTTGGATCTGAAATAAGAAAAAGAAGACCAAGAATTACTGACTGCTGTTCACAGGTCTTTCAAAAATGAGCTGGAAATGTCCATCTAGTTCCTAATTGTGTTTCCATTTTTTTTCTTTTTTTTTTTTTTTTTAAGAAAAATTTCACTGCAGTAGTCACCTTTGTAAATCACCTCAGCAAAGACTCCAAGGAGTGAAAGGGCCTCAGAAGCTGAATTACCCTCCCACCCCTACTGGTGGTCCCTCCAGATCAGGGCTGAGGGTGGGTGGGTAAATCTTGCCCGTGCTGTACCTGTTCTGTGGATGAACAGAGGACTTCAGTCTGCGGGGCTGCCAATCCCAGCATCTTTCACAAGCTTTCACTTTCACATCTTTCACTAAATTAACTATAAAAATGTAGAAAGAAGTCTTACTTCACATCTAATTTAAAAGCCCAAGCTGATGCAAAACATTAAGGATCCTGACCAAAAAATCCAAATGACAAAATACCTAAAAACCACACCCTCAGCACTATCTATCCTCCCGTGCACATACCCTTCATTAAAATGTTTCAATTTTTCTTTTAAAGGACGAAATGCTGGAGCATGAAACAAAAAATGGTTTCCTGCATACTGATTGATAAGCAATGCAAAATTGTTTCCCTAATGGTAAATAACTGGAGTTGGGTAATTACTGGGTATGCTACACAGAAATCTTGTTTTAAAAACTCTTGATTTTATAACTTTTTAAAAATTACGTAAATGTATCCAGCAAACTGCTTTCCTCTGAGGGGAAAAAAAATGTTTTTGCTAAGCTTAAGTAGAGGATTTCAGGTGTCAGAATGATCTAACGACATGGAATAGTTTTTAGAGGAGGCAAAGATAACTGATAGTGAAGTCTCTTCATGAAATACCATTCTTATAAAGTTGAGGATACTCTAAAAAAAAAAAAAAAGAAAGAAAGAAAGAAAAAAAAAAGCAGTGAAGTAAAAACAAAAGTATGTTTTAAAAACCGGATGGGTGGGTAACACAAAAAAAAGAATTGACATCTGGGCCCTTTCTTCAAAAAAAAAAAGTGGGGGGTGGGGGGCAGGAAAAAAGTACAGTATATATGGACTCTATTTGGCTTTGGATAAAAGTTGGCATCTTCTTATTCCTAAAAATTAATAATGTCAACATGTGTGTGAATGCAAAGTATGCTTTGGCCGTTAGAGTAAAGACTAGTAAAGACAATGACTGTCAATATGAAACATTTCAATACACGCACCTATATGTTATAAATTTGGTCTCTTTCAAAAGCGTCCTAAAGTCAGCTTTAGCTGTGATGTACTTGTCTCTGATGTATTCTTCAAACTCTCTTTGTTTTTTCTGGAAAAAAAAACACAAAGAAAATAAGATCATTGCGGGGAGGGGACTACTTCCAAAATGAACATTAATTATTCATTAAACCAGTAATTTGTTAACACATGTAATAAGATTAAAAAATCAAAAAGACTATCAGATACATTCCAGGTCCTATAAAATTCACTGAAGTGTTCAATTTGCAATGCATATTAAAGCGAAAAATTTTAAAAAGCAAGAATGAGAAACCATGAAGCACTACACTGCCAAGCATTTTACAGACATCTCCTTCAATATTCATAACAACCTCAAGAGGTAAAAATCTTTTTAAAAATAAAGAGATGAAGGCTTAAGTGTTCATTTCCTACTGACATATCTTAAAGCACAAAGACACTAATAGGATATAATTTGATATAATTTATGTATACATCAAGTATAAGGAAACACTCAGAACTTACAAATGACTTACACTGAGCATTTAACTTTCTAGTAAAAAAAAGGCCTTACTACCAATTCTAAACAGCTAAGTTAGAAACTGGGAGTGGGTTTCTAATTTAATCAGTCTACAACTCTTTCCCAGTCATGTATATTTTGTGGTCCAGCTAATGAAAATCCAACTTTAGTAAGTATGAAGAGTATGAAGAGGAAGAATATTAGATCTATGGGTTTTTAGATACCAGACCTAAAGAAACCAACTAGGCAAGGGAATGATGGGAAGAAAAACCACATAAAGGGTCAAGGGATAAAGATAATGAGGAATACTTTTCTTAACATCATTCACTATCTTAAACATTAGGTGAATTTGTTTTCTATACTAGAGCCAGAGCGCATGACAAGAGGGCTCAGTTTTTATAAACTTCTGAGAGTTTTCTGTACTGCAAAGTCTCTGGAACATACAAGAACTCAGGATCTTATTGTAATGTTCTGTTAGCGTGGCTTAAAAAGTCAGGTGTTTTGATATCTTGATATCAACTGCCATGAATAGGTCTATCTAGTGGGACTTGACTGTAAAATAAAACCATAGCTTCATTAAATCTCTATGATTGCAAAACACAAGTTTACCTCTAAGAAATATAATTTAACTTTAGATAATGCCTTCTTAATATATTATGCAAAAAATGAATTTAAAATTCAGATTCATTTTTCATATAATTGAAATTGACATAAAACCATCAATTTCATTTTGGTCAAGATATTAATATACTGGGGCAGATT